GTTTCGAATAACTTATTGAATTGCGATAAACTATTATTGCACAATTGTGATCGGTTAAGAAAGGTCTCGGATCCGAGCTACCTAGTTATTCGATTTAGTTGATTCGTAATATACAAAAACGATCGCTAAACATCACTGCGCACTTCTCAATGTTTCAAAACCGTTACAATGAGATTTAGGTTGTAAAAAACCATTTTTTAGCTGCATTTTGCCCCTTATCTGACAATGGCATGACCGATGAAATAAGACAGATTTTCGTTGATAAGCACAATGAGTATCGCAGCACAATGCGTACATCTTAGTATCGTGGTATCGGTGCAAGAGACATGTTTTCAGGGGTTGGTCGTAGTGTGTATGTAGTACATCTTAGTATCGTGGTATCGGTGCAAGAGACATGTTTTCAGGGGTTGGTCGTAGTGTGTATGTAGTACATCTTAGTATCGTGGTATCGGTGCAAGAGACATGTTTTCAGGTCCATTATTGCTAAAGGACAGGCCAAAAATATGCTTGGGGGATTTGCTCCGAAAGCAGCTCGAATGTTAAAAGTGGTATGGCATCGTAGCCTTGCTTGCTTCATGATACTTCGGTTCACCCTTTTGTGTTTTCCGAGCAATGCATCGAAATCAGATTGAGTTCGATAGCTTTCAGAGCTACGACTGCGAAGTTGAAGCAAATATGGCAACATATGCAAAAGAATGCAAATTCGAACATGACCGGCCTGAGCAAAGAAACTATTGGGGGGGCAAAATCTGTGGATGCTGGGAGGGACAATTTCAGCAGGACAGAGTCTGCGTAATATGTCAGAATTTCGGAGTCAGTTGCATCTTCTTCAAGAGTGGTTCCATAATTTCAGAGTGTCCAAGCTTGGTACTGGGAATTAAAGATGTTCGGTGTGCCAGATGGAAATATCCTGACAATGGAAGTTTTCAACCGCGGTGTTGGTCACTACACACAGGTGATTACGGACCGCATAGTTACACGAAGTGATTAATGTCCTAAGAAGTGGTCATTGTCCTTGCAGGTGGCCTGGCAATCGAGTGACAACATAGGTTGCACAGTCGAATGGTGCCCTAGCATGACACTCGTAGGATGCGAATACAACCCTGCGTAAGTTAAGAGGATGGCATTAATGAACTCCCCTGTTTCAAGCTTTTCTTCGGAAATTAAATTACAGAGGAAATAGGCTCAACCACTTGATTTACGACATAGGAGATCCGTGCACAACTGATGAAGACTGCCAGTGCACTGGTTGCACTTGTAGTAGAAATGAGGCCCTATGTATTCCTCCAGGATACGCTACAGTCATGCCATCGACAACAGTGGAAACAACCCCGAAACCATACGATACGAATTCCAAGACAGGTTTGTTACATAAAGAAAGATTCAGCTGGAAATGGGCCTAAGTCAACTCTGCTGCCTTTTAGGTGGGATGTGCCCTGGGCTTAATACCGGAGTGACGGACGAAGCTAGGAACTTGTTCGTCGACAAACACAATGAGTATCGGTAAGTTCGTGGGCGAAAAATCTATGAAAATGACGCTATTATTCGAGACCCTTCAGATCCATCATAGCTAAAGGACTAGCCCACAACAATCCTGGAGGGTTTGCTAGAAAAGCGGCTAGAATGATGAAAGTGGTACGATTCATAATAATTTGTTTTCATTATTATGATTTGGAGCACCTCACGTCTTGAGGCCAAGCCTATCTTTGTTGTTTTATCCACTTCTATCAAAAATCAAGCAATTGCTATGATATTTGCAATGAATTGTTATGGAGCTACAATTGCGACATTGAAGCAAATGCAGTGGAGTGGGCGAAGGATTGCACGCTTGGGTACAACTCTGTTGCGCAAAATAACCAATGGGGTTATAATGTACACTCATTATTACCGCACATTAACAAAACAGAAGCCGCAGCAGAGGTTGTAATATTGTTCCAGTAGCATCTTCTCCACACAACACCATCGATCTCATACCAGAGTGTCGAGGCCTGGTTCAATGAACTACAGAAATACGGTGCTCCTCAGAACAACGTTTTCAGTATGGAGGTTTTCAATCAAAACGTAATAGATGAATACGCCCAGGTGGGAACAGAAGTTTTAGCACAGAGTTGGCAGGAATGTTGTTACTTCTGTTACTCTAGTTGGCCTGGTTGTGGAATCTTTTCTTGCTGGAATGGTGCTTCTACATTTGTGGCATGCGAATATAACCCTGGGTAAGAACAAGCAGATCAACGAGACTCTCCTCGTAAGTAATTCACTCTAAAAATTGAATTTCATAGGAAACTTCATCGGTGAAGTGATTTATGCGATTGGAGATCCGTGCACAACAGATGAAGACTGTCAATGCGCTGGTTGCGTCTGTAGCAAAGATGAAGCACTCTGTAATGCTTCTTGAATGCTGGTGCAATAAATCTTCAGTGAGAGGAAACCATGGTTCTTTGAGTATTTGCTGTTCGACAAGTCCTCCCAATATTACTCATTCTCCACAACGCAATGAAAACAAATCCTACTTTGTATCCACATACTAATCGAATTTAGCCGCAGCAGTGGCTTCGTACCATCGGAGGTCCTACTACGGAATTTAAGCAAAAGCAAGCACAAAAGTAAGCAAATTACCACGGACAGGACTTGCAAATTTGGTTGACGTCCAGGGATTTGACATTAAACTTGATGTCTGGGTGGCTGGTAACACGACTGCATGAGACAAAATAAACTAAATGTTTACTGAGAACAAAATATCCAGTATGCAAAAAAAGAGTTGAGGTAAAAAGATTGGAGGAAAGCCACCAACGATTCCGGTGCAGGGAGACTTCGGGGTTGGTTCCACCCTCGGTGAAGGGGTTGGCCATCTAGGCCTTCACTGTGTCCTGAA